AAAAAAAAAAAAAAACCGTTAATTTGATACATTGCACCTAAAAGTAGGTAAAAATTTAACTAGTTACTAAAGTTTTGATAGTGGCATTATTTTTCTATTTAGTAATAGAAAATATTAAAAAAATTTGCTGTATTACGGTATTGGTTTATATAACATATCTATAAAGTAATTATTTTATTATATTTCTCTATTGATTTGAATTATGTTTAAATTAAGTATGAAGATAAAATGACTATAAAAAGTATTCTAAAGTTTAATTTTGTCTTGAGATAAAGTATACAAAGAGATGTAATGTTATCATAGTATTTAAAAAATAACTTATAACAAATATAATACAAAAATCATTATAATTCATAAAATTTAAAATTATTTTATTTATACTCATAAATTTATATTAAATATAAAATTAAAGATACCTGAAAAAGATAATAGATGGAAGTACCGGCTATATAAATTAAATTTATGGAGTTGTAAATAAAATGTATTTTAAAGATACTAGTAAAGTGCACGTGCGATGCACGTGGTGTCGAATGATTTTCGCGGAGTAAGTTTGTAAAATAAATTAATTTATTTATTAAACATATCATTGCATAAATGAAATAAAATATAGAAAAAATGAAATCATATGTGATTTTTTTTAATTAGAATTAACATAATGATGTCCTCATATAAAAATAGTGAAATAACGTTTTACAAACCCCAACAAAAATATATATAAAAAAACAATTTCCTAATAAAAAAACACAAAGATTTTCTTTCATTTTAGTTTTAACGTTCTCATAAGAACATTCATAGTCGTTGGACTCCAATACATCAATACTATTGTAAAATTCCTCTTAATTAATTTGGCAAAACGTCAATTTTATTCAAACACTTAAGAAACTTTCTGACCCAACATATAGTCAAACTTCATGATCGTATGATCTTTATAACAAGGTACTTCTACTAACAAAGGATAAATATCTCTATGAAATAACTAACGGTGTCACTAAAATTGCTGATATTTTTTATCACTGTATAAACTACTACATTCCTCTATCTCTAGATATATTAGTGTCTACCTCATTGATGCATCGCCCCACGAGGTGGGAATGAATTTTATCTCCAAATAAAAGTTGACTTTCCAAAATCTTGGTTACATGTACTTTTCTCGAGGTGCTAAATTATTTTTTAAAATCATCATACATTACCTGAAAGTACCTCTAAAGTAATTGCACATATGTTCAAGCACAATACACCAATGAGATTGTAAATATTTCTATAAAAAGTGACAACTTAATTCTAACATTCAAAACTGTTTTGATACTCCTACATTTCATTTTTAGTGTTATTTATCTAGAATATAGACAAACAATATAATCTATTTTTTCAATGATAAAACAAAACAATGAGAAAATATTGAGAAGCATATCATTTATTAAAATATTTTACAACAGAATGATTAGAATTCCATTATATGACGATACTTTTAGTCATTTGTAAAGTTTATTATTATGGAGTCATGATTAAAATATACATCATGTATAAAAAATTTTAGATTTTTTAATTATTTAAAATTGAAAATAAATAGTATATGATCATTATTTATGAGAACCAATTTCTTACATAGTCCATAATCCATATATTTAAAGGCTAGCAACAAAAAGTAGTAATTTTAAAAAAAAACTTTTTGTTTGTAAATATTGGTATTCATACTTTTCTAAGAAAATTAGCATGTTTTCTTTTTCTCATTGCATTACTATTATATTATTTGTTTCTTAAAATAATATTTTATTTGCTAAGTAACTAAAGCACATTTATATGTATTATGTTATTTTTGTATGTTATTTATTAGGCTACAATTAATATAATCACATAAGATTAAATGTAATTTAATATATTTGATAAAATTGTACTTTTTATAAGAATTATTAGATAAAAAAAGTTTTAGAATTTTTTCCAATGTTTGATAAAGTATTAATTAACTAAGTCATTTTCAAAATCACTGTACATCTATGACACCACCATTATAGGGTTCATTTTGCAGTAGTAATTGACTTCACATAGCTAATGTTATTTCATTTCCTTTCTCTGACCTAGCCTTTCCTTTTATCTATGACTTCACATTGCTTCGCTTCGTTTGTACCCTAAGGTGCATTAGCCATAGTTTCAGCATTACGACAAACTCGTGTCAAACATATATCGGATTTAGGCGCTCTAGCCAAAACGTGGGAACAGTTAGAAGTTTACACCTATTTTTTTTACTTTATTTTTTTTAATATGAATTGTTTCAAATTTATGTATGGAAAACATACCACAAGTTTATATTATGTTATTTTATACTTAATAAAATTGATTTAACTTGAATATAAAATTTATTATATTATATACTTTAAGACTAATTTATTATTTTAAATTAGTACTGATATATATATATATATATATATATATATATATATTCTTTTATATCAATATAAATAATTATATTATTTTTATTTTATTGCAATATATGGGTCAACTCAAACACCATTGAAAATAAATGATGTGATATATTACATATAAAAAAATAACAAATAAAAAATATGAAGTATTTGAAAATTAAAAAATATAATGATAGAAAGTAATAAAAATCTTAACTAAAAAAATTTTAAGATTAACATACCCTCTTTTAAAGAAATATACTTATTAATCTATATATATATATATATATATATATATATATATATATATATATATGTAAATATATTATGTACTTAAAAGTTCTAGTTAAAATATATGTGTATCTTAAGTATGTTTTATATTTATCATTAGCCAGCTCCAAGTGATATTGTACATTAAGTAATTTTATTAGCATTTTTACTTTTGAATTTAATGAGAGTTATAAGTTTTGTCATCTTTCTTACCCCTTATTTACTTATTATTACAATACTAATAAAATAATTAAGGACCTTTCAAAGTATCTTGTTTGCTTTGAAAAAAATTAATTCTTATCATAAATTGAACGCCAATTACATTGAATGCGTTATATTTTCTATGGTATCAAAAATTTTCATAATAATAGTTGCACACAATATTATATATAATGCATTTTTTTAATAGATTTGGAGTCTTAGTTTTACTACAAAAAAATGAGAAAATTCCAACAAAAATTACAGCAAATATAACGATTTTCTTATGTGGATTTTAGAAAAATCTTGACTTTTAGTTTCTTAAATATATTTTACCTTATTGTGATTGCATACATTTATTAAAATGTATTACAAATGAGAAAGGTGATAGATTATGTAAACTATAATTTAAAAATTGCAATGACATGTTATTTTGATGGTATATTTTTTTCCTATTAACTAAATAATGCTCCCAATATGAAATTATTTTGGATCTATCACTGCAATTATCTTTCCACTGTAACTTCTATTGAAATTTTGCATAATACCAATGACAATTTTTTCAACGATTGAAATATGGTCCAAAAAATAAATTCCAATAAAAATTCAGGTAATTGACATCTTTACATC